AAATCATTGCTCTATATTCCTTTCTTCTCCATCTTGAGATAACGTCTAATCTTTCTGTCTATGAATTTGTATAATCTATATATCTATATATTTCATGTAATACAATTCTATAGTATTTGTCCTTTTTTTTTTTTTCTTTTGGTTTTTTGAGACAGGGTTTCTCTGTGTAGCTTTGCACCTTTCCTTGATCTCTCTCTGTAGACCAGGCTGTCCTCGAACTCACAAAGATCTGCCTGCCTCTGCCTCCTGAGTGCTGGGATTAAAGGCATGTGCCACCACCGCCCGGCTGTATTTGTCCTTTTTAATGTAAAAACATTTTATGTACAACTGCAGGAGAAATAATACACAGATAGCTTGAACATAAAAACAGGTTATAATTCAAAAGTCCAGGGTTATTTGAAACTAGGAAATATTTTCTCTGTAGAAAATAGTAAAAATGATAACATTTCCCAATAAGCCCTTTTAAGCCAAATAATAGCTGAATTATACACATAAATATTGATTAGATTCTGGGATACAGAAGAAACCTATCTTCATCTGTTCAGAGAGCTATGTTTTACTTAAGTTGTGTAAGTGAGATTCCTATTCATCTTCCCCTTCACTATTTGATTTAAGGTAGACATTTTTCTGTAGGCTAATCCATAATCTAAAAAGATTTTAGCCTTCCCTCCTGAAAGCACAGCCAGCATATCCTTTCATCAGCTTGATACAGTACAAATTCTTATCCTAATAGTAAAATGTTTCACTAAAGCTTGCCCAGTGATTGGATAAAATCAAAACTTAATATAAGCCACAGTCATCCTAGGGTCCTCTCTGATAGGTAGCCTCCCTGGTTCTGTGGGTTGTGGTCTGATTGTCCTTTGCTTTATATTTAGTATCTACTTATGAGTGAGTACATTCCATGTTTGTCCTTGTGAGTCTGGGTTACCTCACTCAGGATGATATTTTCTAGTTCCATCCATTTGCCTGCAGATTAGAAGCCTATTCTTAACGGAAAACTCCACCCCTTCCTCTCTCTTCTGCTTTTCTCCCACGAGGTGTGCACCTCTCCAACCCCTTGCCCCTCCAATCCCTCTCTCCCCCTCTTCTGTCTTTCTGCCTCTTCATCTCTCTATTATAATAAACCATTTTCACGCAGATGCAGCATCTGGGTTATGTATCTCCACCTGCCACCCGCCACCATGGCCACATGGACTGGGCCACCTGCCAGCCCACCGCTGCATCTGGGGGTCTCATCGAGTACAATTCCTAACAATAGGGGCTCAAGAGATGACTCAGGGTAGAAGAATAGAACCAGCTCCTGACCTCCACACACACACAGTGGCACATGCACACCCACACACATACACTCACACTTAAATAAATGTTTAAAAAAAAAAAGGAAGAAACACTACAAGTCTTAGAATGGGTAATAGAATAGTGCTGAAATAGTGAGATGGTATATACAAATTTCCTGTTCTTCAATAGCAATTAAAGACGCAATTTTCAATTTGGGCATTTCACTTAAAGATCTGGGTTTCTCAAGTACTGAAAATTGGATCTGACACAGTGGCAGCAGCAGGTGGAGCTGAGCAAGCCAGTCTCTTGAGTTGGGATGTACGTGACAAATTACCTTGACCTTACTATTCCCTGCTGTGTCCCTGCCATTCCAACTGAATGTTAGCTGTAGTTTCCTACAGAGAAGTATTTCTAAGTTTCCATGTCTCAAATACCGAAAATCAAAACAAGGTGGCCCGAAAGAGCCATGGAATTTTTTCCTCTTGAGACAGGGTCTCAGGTAGCCTTGGCTGGCTTCAGGCTCATCGGGTCGTCAGAGATGGCTTTGACCTTTTACTCTCCTGCCTCCACCTTGAGTATTAGGATTAGAGTGGGGGCCACCATACCCAACTCCACGTGATTTCCGATGGTCTGTGCTCAGTTAATTATTATTTTACTGTGTGGATTTGTAGGCTTGAAAGACCTCATGAGTTGTCCACCATTCCTCCCATCTTTTTCCAGCTGTCTATCAGCCTCAGCCCCTAACCTGGCCTCAGCTACTTACTTTCTTAAAACATTTAAAAAATAAAGAAAAGCCAGGTGGTGGTGGTACATGTCTTTAATCTCAGCACTCGGAAGGCAGAGATAGAAAGATCTCTATGAATTCAAGGCCAGCCTGAGCTACAGAGTGAGTTCCAGCACAGCCAGAGCTACACAGAGTAACCCTGTCTTAAAAAATAAAAACAAGCCGGGCGGTGGTGGCACACG